AAAGATACGAGACACTGATATTCTGTTAAACCCACTGAACACTTCCTCAAATTGCTTCATCAGAGTATTCACATGTAGGATGAAACAGCAAATCCTACTGTGGAAAGAAACTATACATAACTGTAGAAAGAAAACGAGATAGGCTACAGTTTCTGGCTCAGGTTGGGAACTAGACTATTATCCTTTCATTAGAGCTAAAGGACGCTTACACTGTACACTTCAAAGAGCTCTCCAAGTGAGAAACATCCAGTAACTTCCAAATATACTCTGCCTTCCAGCCTCTTTCCTTTATTGGTCAGGCAGGTTTTAAGCAGCAGAAAATGAAAGATAGGACTCATGCTTCATTCACTCACTTCCTACAATAATTTAAATGCTGAGGTGTCCTAAAACTTGGGATAGTCTTTGGAAACCAAGACAAGGAATTTTTTTCTTGTTTATTCTGGTCCAGTGCAAATATTTGCCTATTGAGAAATATACAATACTTTAGAATCATAGACCCACCATCTGCTTAAAGTGAGCCAACACCCACCCACAAGGAGACGGATGCAGGCTGGCATCCTGTTCCAACGCCTTGCAGCCCTGGTTTGTTTGAACTGCCCCACACTGATTTCCTGATAAACTAACAAAAGGGCATGCACACTTTTGCAGCCCGCAAAGATTACTTTCAGGTTCTCTTCTGTAATCTTGTCACAGTATTGGGGTCAAAAGGAGGCTATAAAACACCATCAGCTTGGGGTACGTGGGTGCATCTGTGAATTCTTCGTGCTAATGCTCTAGCTCCAGGAACGATGAATAAATTAAGCCACTCCTGCTTTGCAGTTCTGACAGCAGGTCTGACTGTCCACATTAGCAGAGAGAAAGAGATCTTTACTGGTGGAGAGGGTGATGGCAAACTGGGCATTCAGCTCTCAGGGGTCTGTCATTTTAAATGACTAGACATCCTCATTTAACTGACAAAGACATTTGGCTGACCCTTGACCTTAGAGTTCTGCCTGAAATACTTGATCCCTACTTAACAATAAGCTTATAAAACCTGGGAAATGAATCTGTAGTGGAGCGTTGTTCCTTGAAGCAGCTGCCATTTCTTTTTTCTTTCCCTTTCCTTTCTTTCTTTTTCTTTTTCTTTTGGCCATTTCTTTTTAAAGAAGCCCTCCAGAGGACAAAAATTTCCTGAAGTGTCCCCCTGCAGGGCTCACCTTTGTGATTGTTTCTTGGGGAGACTAGAATACAAAATGAAGAGAGAAAGATGACTGGCTATTATATTTCAGAGTCTGAAAGTTTTGAAACCAATTACCAAGGAACTTTAAAATTTTTTTTTATTTAGTTATTTTTCAAGTACAGTTTTCTGTTTATTTCTCCCATCCCAGCCCACCCCTCCCCCATGCACCCCACCTCCCTCCCATTTCCACCCCCCTTAGTTATTTTCCCTGTGTCCTTTATACTTGTTCCTGTAAATCCCTCCCACTTTTCCCCTTAAATTCCCTTCCCTCTCCCCTCTGGTCACTGTCTCCCTGTTCTCTATTTCAGTGTCTTTGTTTTTATTCTGTTTGCTTGTTTGTTTTATTGTTTAGCTTCCTGTCAAAGGTGAGATCATATGGTATTTGTCTTTCAACCCCTGGCTTATTTCACTCAGCATAATGCTTTCCAGTTATACACAATGGAATTCTATGCAGCAGAGAGAAAGAAGGAACTACTACCCTTTGCAACAACATGGATGGAACTGGAACCAAGGAACTTTTATGAAGGTTTTAAAGTGATATTAACGTGCAGGAACTAAGAAACCTGATTGTCTAAGACCCCTGGGGGGATTTATACAGGTTATTTGTCGGATCTCATCATGAAAACAATTAACCTATGCCTGCTCTTTTGGGGTACATTGCTTCTGTCTGAATTTTTTCTTAGCATACCAAAGGGTTATTTATATGTTTAGTGTAAATAAAATTCTTCAGTGTCCCTTAAGATCAATCCAGTGAGAAGCGAGTGACTTCAATGTGGTACCAGATGCAGGTTTTTGGTAAATAGATGGTTTTAGGGGGTTGTTGAAAGACCACTTATTGTCATACCTGGAACCTCTGAAACTTTAATCTTTCCAGCTCTCAGTCATTAAACGTGGAAACACAGGCGAAGGTGTTAATCATGACTCTCTTATGGAGGACAGTGAAAGTTGTTGCAGTAAGGCTGTACCTAGAGGCAGCAGTCAGCTGAGAGAGGCTTTGGTTGTGGGTAATGTCACAATGACAATGTATGTCTCGGGAAGAGATTTTAAGGAAGTGCAGAGTGCTACCAAAGGTAGTGTCATCTTTAACATTTTTCTCTGGGTATCGTGCATAGCACAGCAATGTAAGAAACAGGTCATTTTGATCAGAGGTTATAAGAGAGGGGTGTGTGAGGACATGCCTTCTCTCGTGGCCCCCAAGATTCTCAGGTTGAGCATCAGAGTCATCCTGAGTCACACTGAGTCACCAGAAGCTGACGGAAGCGTGTTCTTTGGTTTGTTAGGGGTAGAGGCTCGAAGCTGGTAATGGCAACGGCACCTACAGTTCTTTTATAAAACATTATTTGAAATCAATGTGAACTGCCCTTCCATAAAGGGCATACTCCGAATATTTTCAGTTGCTGCACAATGTGAGTTTTGGCTAAATCTTGTGATTTGACAACATGAAACTCTAAAGCAGAATAGCATGGCGGCGAGGTGTGCTGACCCCAGGCCCAGACTTGCTGGGTTTACGTACTGGCTCCGCAAATTAGAGGTGACCTTTTTCTTAAACAAAACAAAACAAAACAAAACAAAACAAAACAAAACAAAACAAATCAAACAAGTTATTGGCCATCTTCAGGCCCCAGCTAATGCATTGGTGAAATGAAGGTAATAGTATTTCACGTTTGTGGTGGGATATTTCGTGAGACAATTCATGCAAAAACCTCAGCACAGGGACTGGAACATAGGGACATTCACCAGATACTTGCTTTAATAATGACTAAAAGCACCACATATGATAGTCAGCTCTTTCTCTGGGAATGGCTCTTGGTTTTGAGCTAGAACCACAGCATTAGCTCTAGGTAGTTCCTAAGCCCAACTAAATGAATTTATTTTATAAAACTCTTTGGGTCTTGAATTAATATTTATTTGGGCAGAAATTTATTCAGAGGGTGGAACGAGAGCCAGACAAACCCGCTGTGTGACTGATTCATTGGTTCCAGCCGGGCCTCTTTGAGAGTGTGTGATGGGAAGTTTGGGCCTTTCCTCACCCTTGGAAATCCGAGGGAAAGGCATCTGCGTTGCTTTGCTAGAGCTGCCGTGATGATACCACACACACGGGGTGAAGTAACAAGAGAAGTGTATCTATCGCCTCTGAGTTCCGGAGGCTAGATCTGAGGTCAGGGTGTCACCAAGAATGGTTCCTTCTTGGGGGCTCTGAGGGAGAATCTGCCCCATACCTGTCCCCTCACTTCTGGTGGCTCGCTGGCAACCTTTGGCGTCATTCCTTGGCTTCTGCTATCAGGCCCAGATCTGGGCCTTCATCTTCTCGTGATGTTCTCTGTGTGTGTGAGTGTGTCTTATGTCAGATTAGATCAGAAGGCCAATCTGCTCTAATAGGACTTTATCTTAACTTAATGGATTATATATTCAATGACTCTTTCCAAATAAGCTCTTATTCTGTGGTACTGAAGGTTGAGGCCTTCAGCCTATGAATTGGGGGCAAGGTGGATACAGTTTAAACTGTAACAGCATCCTTCCTTTTCTGGAAGTAATTCTAAAATACTTCCAGAATTTGCAGTAATCAATACTCAGCAAAAATCCAGTTGTATGATTATAAAGTTGTAGACAGTGGGTTTGTTTCATGTGTTATAAGCTTATGTTTATAAACTGGTATTCGTATAGTTAATCACTGAAAGCACCAGGGGGCTTATGAAAGTAAAGGCATCCTGCTGTTGTTGCTGGCTCAACACTCACGATTTGCTCTGTGTGCGTGTGTGTGCGTGTGTGTGTGTGTGTGTGTGTGTGTGTAGAGAAAGAGAGCGCTTGCTTTCAAGGGCTTTCCATTTAGCAAAAAAGATAGACATTGTATAAAAATGATTTTTAAAAAGCAGAATAAAGCTTGTCTCTCTTTACTTAGTAAGGATGTTTATGAATACACATATTGTGTTATGCTTCATATTTGGTGTTATGTGCTTTAAAGAGTTCTACTCTAAACTCTCAAGCAAATCTCTGCAAATCTTCATAGGATGTAAATCAGTATGTTGAAAATGGTCAGTTTGTCTGAGCTTAGCACAGTATCTTTAAACCTCATCTAAAATTTTGAAAGGTTCTTCCAGGAAAACCCTGCATACCCTTATAAGTTAGAGTTAACCCAATGAATAAGAGTTTCTTTAGCCCCAGCAGTATGCCTTATTCTCTATTTTGTTATATCGATTTCTCTGTGGTGGAATACATTCTTCTATCACTCAAGATGCACAGGTGCTACATCTTCAAAGCCCGGCAGCCCTACTAGAAGGTTGGGCACTGGCGCCACTGCTCCCTCATCAACCTGTTACATTACTTAAAAAGGAGTTACTTTCATCAGTTGTAGATCTTACCACCAAGCTCTGAATGTTGCAGGGGAACAATATTGCCTTATTTTCATCTAGTTGATCTTTCAGCCCACGATACCAAACACAATGTCCGGTGAAGAGTATAAACAAAATGAGTAATTGACAAGTGATCAAATCCAAACCACTAATTTCATACAGTGAAGAAATTAGATACAAATTCAACTACCTTACAGAGTTTCATTGTTAAAGTAGGGTAGCAAAGAAAACTAAGTTGGTTACAACATTACACTGACTAATAAAACTTACCAAATAATTGTATATGTTACATATGTATATTAAGTATTAGCAAATATAGAATTATACCCATAATTAAATTATATATAATAAAATATAATCATATGCGTATTAAAATACAAAGGCACATACATTTTTTATGTTAAAGAAGAATCAATTTATTACTTAGTAACATTTTTACACTAACTGCAGAAAGAGTGAACATTTTATTTTACTTATTAGTTCTTAAAACAGCACCAGATTGCCAACAGTCCTTTTCTTAGTTCACTGCGTACGAGCGCTGGCATTTGCTGCCTCTGCACTGTCGATGGCACCGCAGAGTCAGCTATATTACTACAGTCCTCACGTTTCAAATGTGCAAATCAGAGCATGCCAGTGCAGTTTGATGTCTTAGCACTCATCAGAAAATCAACTTGCAGACTTAGATCTAACATGAAATATAAGATGTTTAATTTTTTTTACACATAGATATCTAGCACTGACATCTAGTTACTGGTCAAGCAACCTACTTATATACAAATAGGTTAATTATTAAATCTGCTTAAAATGAATGGAATAGTGGTGAAATAGAACCTGGAAAATACTTTTATTTCTCTGACTCACGAAACAGTGGAATTAATAAAAAATCTGTATCATAGGTATTGCATATCTCATATTAAAGTATACTTTTATATCTCAAAATAAGTCAAAATGCAGACAAATCCTAGGGGGAGAAAAATTTCTGCCTATCTGAAATGTTCTCTTGCTTCTGAAAATTACTTCCAGCTGATCATAAGAATTTTTGTTAAAATTAAAAAATTTTAATTAAAAATTCAAAAATTAGGAGTTTTTGTAGCATGTAAAGGAATGGAAGACATGGTACTGATCGTCCAGAGCTTCTGTGAAGAACTGAATTGGTGGTTAGATGTTTGGTAATTTCAGAATGGATATAATCCTCTCCTGCCAGTTAAATGGAGAAAATTTCTGGTCTTCCAGAGGCAGTTACACTTTTCTTAAAATTATTAAAAGTATTAAATATCTACCCAATGATTATATTAAGAAAAATACTTAGTTAAAATGTGGAAAGATATATTTGATTTATTATAATTGATTTTTAAATGTCTACTTTAAGGTAAAAAGGAAGTGCATGGTTAACTCTGAAATACGCTCTCGAAAGTTCAAGTAATAAGTGCACAGAGCTGCACCCATTTGCTCCGGCAACATGCACGTTATTTATGACCCACTCTGGCAGGCTCCAGACAGCGGAGCAGCAACACAGCAGGTTACCTGGTGGAGTGCATGAGAGGTGGAAAGAGTAAAGGCAACCAGTGCAGGCCCCTCATAGTCAGGTCCTATTGTCTCTCCCCTGACCCTGCTCTTGGCTTGTGACAAGCTTTCTTTGCTACTCTTGCAGACAGCAGGCTAACTATTACATTGTTGTGCTCTGATTTTGACACTTATTAAACTGTAATTTTACCTGTATAAGAATATGGCAGACACATGTAGGAGGGATATATGGTATTGGGAAAATTACAATAAACAAAGTATTCAAAAAGATTCTCACTAGTAATGTTACAGAATCCATATACTTGCACATTTAGTATTGATCCATAAACCAGAAGGTGGTCTTCATGATATTTCACCTCTTTAAGGTAGTCCCTTATAATTCTGATTGAATAAGTTTTAATGCTTTCTTCATGTTTTCTATCACTGAAATAAAAATATGTACATATTATTCTCTTAGTAAATGAAAGTATCAAATACTATAATCTTTTAAGCACTGAATCTAAAATTGGCCCATTTAAATTAATAGCTATGAAAATATGGGGATTTATCTAGAACATTAAATAATATTGCCTTCATGGACCTCACATGAACCCCCAACACCCAGTAAAGTTTCTTTTCTCACACACACACAAGAATATTATACTAAAGGTATACATGTAAATACGTATATTTAGAGATTAGACCATTGAAATATGGTTAATCAGCTTTCCATATGGAAAATAAACAATTTTATAAGAGGGTTTATAGGGAACATATATTTTATAACGGATCATTTTGTATCTTTATCAGTGGATCTTATTAAGTATAATTGACAGTGAATGTTGTAAAAATTAGATTAAGCCCTGGCCGGGTGGCTCAGTTGGTTGGAGCATCACACCATGCACCAAAGGGCAGCAGGTCTGATTCCTGGTCAGGGTGCAGACCTACATACGTCATGGGTGCAACTGACAGTCAAGGCACATATGGGGGGTAACCGATCAATGTCTCACATCGATGTTTTTCTCTCTCCCTCTCTCTCAATCAATAAACATATCCTTGAGTGAGAGTTTAAAACTAAAGATTTCAAAGTACCCTAGAAATTCTCATTTTGATGGGAGCTAAGGGTTTGCATTTTAAACACTGACATCCCTCCTACCCCAGTGATTCTGGTTTGCTGGCAGCCCTGTTTGTGGGGAGGCGCCGATGCAGAGCATCATGGACCATCCTAACAGTCAAGTGGCCCCTAGTACCACTGCTCAGCATCATTTGTGAGTGCTTACGTATTGGTAAATCCTGAGGCTCATATGTATACAGCCTATTAGAATACCTTCCAGTTATATCAGCTCTGACTGTCAAAGAAGGATCTGCAAAGAAAACATAATTCAGTCATGCATTATCTAAAATGTTCTGAAAATCATTCTTGTTTCTTAATCTAAAGCAAACCAATGTTAGACAAATTTATAATGAGTTAACCTGACTTAAAAAAATTTTAGTGTGTCACAGCTTTCTGGCAATGCAGTTTGAGGAACTTTACTGAAGAAAGTACAGTAGGATATTGATTTAATGGCATCAGTTAGTTTAAAAAATATTTAAATTTACATATTATAAATACAGTGCATTTCAATTGTAGAACTAACAAGAGTTGTTACTGAATTAGAAATAGCTTCCCCTGAACTAGCATTTAAAAATAAAGCAAGGATGCTGTCTGTTTTGTGCACCTAGTGAAATGAGATCACACACATACCCACAAACATGATTCTAGGCACATAGTGTCCGTCTGGTGATAAATTTTTATCTGTAGTCTCATGCTAGTAAGAGAAGAAAAAATATTATTGGATTGGATTGTGTTTCCTTGAAATTTTGGAAATATTTTAGGTGAACAAGGTTTTCATAAATTGTATGTTTTGGCTTTTCACAATTTCATGTGGCATTTTAGATCCATCAATACTTTATAGCTCTTTTTGTCTGAAAAGCAGAAAAAAGGGGATTCAAATTTTTCAATGAATCATAATATCAAGAAAATATTGTACACATCACGTACCATGAGATTCAGCATGATGAAGTTATTCTGAGCCATTTCCTGTATTTCTTCATTTTGAGCAAACACTTTTTTGAGAGCTGTGGGGGAAAACGTAATGAACATCAGTCAGTTTTAAGGATAAAGACACCTTCAATATAAATGACATAACACAGTAAAACTACCATTTCCATTTGCATCTGTATCTTTGATGGAAACAGCTCACTGGCCCATGGCCACTTTGTGTCTCATTGGGAGGCAATGATGGACAAAGTCTGCCCATGAAGACGTCAGAGGATGATCCCATTAATGAAGCCAACAATTTTATAATTGCACGTAACTCACTGGTTAAAACAGCATGTTCAGCAAGTTTTCCTACCTTCCCCCATTTTTTTTTTTTTTTGGTGGGAGGAAGAAAGAAATAAAATTCTAAAGAATATATAAGATAAATATATTTGATCAGATTGCTAACAATAATTGTAGTTTTTAAGCACTTAAATAAAATGATGGTATGGAAGTTGTCTTTTTATTTTATTTTTAAAAAAGATTTTATTTATTTGTTTTTAGAGAGAGGGGGAGGGAGAGCGAGAGAAGGAAAGGGAGAGAAAAAACAATGTGTGATTGCCTCTCATGCACCCCCTACTGGGGACCTGGCCTGCAACCCAGGCATGTGCCTTGACTGGGAAATGAACTGGCAACACTTTGGTTTGCAGGCCTGCGCTCCATCCACTGAACTTCACCAGCCAGGACTCTTTTTACTTTTTAATGGGACTTGCTGAGTGCTGACTTAACAATGTTCACCAGGTCAGTTTTTCTAGTTCTTTTGGGAATACAGTAAGAGCTCAGGAGCTGAAGTTACCTTGGCAGTACTGGCAGTCCTCCAAGTGATGAATGACCATCAACGGCTTGTTACTAAGCAGAGACATGGTACAGGCAAGTGATTAACTCTGAGTCAAATGCACAATGACATTAGATTGCAAGTTTGCACACTTTCAAGAAGACTTAAAATATTGATATTATTGACAAATCATGGCACTGTAGACTGTAGTAGCCTCACTCAAAACACGGCCCCAGGATTTTGCGCATCTCCTGGTAGCTCAAGGAAAATGGAAATTCTCAGGCTCCAGCCCAGACCCTCTCAGAACCCTGGGGTGGGGGCCGGGAATCTGGAGCTTAACCAGCTCACCTGGTCATTCCAATGTACACGGTAGTACAGTTATAAAAATCAAAATAAATTCTGTCTTGAGAGGTGAAAGGATGTTATAAATGAGATGTTAATTTCCAATGAACACCTGGTATAAGGGTTTAGGAGAGTCAAATTTTTCATTTAGGTTTTTTTTTTTTTAGTATTTACAAAAATTCTATTAAAATTTGACTATTTTCACACCCTTTCATTCTTGTAACAACTCACAATATACAAATAATCTCAGTGAGAGTTCCCTCTCTCTACATTTTTCAGTTTTATTTTTATTTTAACTCTGAAAAGAAAGTTTTTGTGGTAGCTAATTGATTTTCCTGCTTGTTAGAGTAAGAAAACAATTATGATATTAACTACAATGAAGGAAAAAGGAGTTATGATTTGTATATATAGGATATTTTTTAATGTTTTTTAAATTTTGAGAGGATGCTGGGTACAAAGAGAGACAGAGTCTAATGTATACATATTAAGCATAAATCTTTTAAAAACAACAGATAATTATGTGAAATACTTGTCATTGAATAAACTTATTTTAATAATTTGCTCTCAAACATGTTAAATAACAAACTTCAAATTGTTATTAATTCTATTTAATCCTCAAACTTGAAATATAAGTAAAGTTTAGGTAACAATAAATCCTAAAACTCGCCTTTAAGCTTTATGGCAGATATAAAGCTAGCCATTTGCCAACAACTTCAAACTTACTGATGAAAAAGCAGACAAGAAATCTGATGAGTGAAATATTATTCCTGCTTTTTAAGAAAACTAACCCTAAGACTATTTATTGGCATTTTTTTTAGAGCCAAGTATAGAACTTGATCCTCCTAAGCATCAAGTGGCGACCTTTCTTCTACATAAGTCTTCCTCTGGGTGAGCTGAGGGCAGGTAAAGGAGTCTTGAGGCAGAACAGTTTATCGGCATGAGTCATTCTAATTTCTTCCCGGCACTGGCCCAACAGCTGGAAATGAGGCCAGACAGGTGTAGAGAAAGACAGAGATATCGCTCTTGCAAAACTAATTTCTGCATTAGATTTCTGGGCAATACGAGTCCAAGGGAAAATTCATCAAGACCACAGAAATCTCAGTCTTAACAGTCTGGTTATGAACAGGTTGTTCAGGTATTCAAACCAAGAGACCATTTCATTTCAGGCAAAGCAGAGAAGTGTTTTGGGCAGACACTGTAATGGAAACAGTCTTTTTTAAAAAAATGGCTCTTTTAAGCAAACAGGCAAGTTGTAAATATGTGCGGTTTTGCAGGCCGTGGGGTCTTATTTGTAACTATTCAACCCTGCCATCATCGCACAAGACAGCCAGGGACAATATGTAACAAATGAGTGTTGCTGTATCACAGTGAATCTAAATGTATGAATCCTGCAACTTGAATATCGTGTAACTTTCAATACTTGTTTTCTTTTGATAAAAATTTTTTAAAAGTAAAAGTCATTGTTAGTTTACAGATCAAATAAAATCAGGTGGTTCCTGGTCTAAAATCTCATGAATGGGCCCACCAGATTGTGATAAATTTGAGTTGAAAGAAAGAAAAAAAATTTTATAGCTGTACTTCTGAGACTCTCTAAAACCAGAGCCTACCAAGCAGCATCATTTGGTGAATAATCTTTTAAAGTTCTACTGTTTTTTTTCTTTTAAAATGGATCACAAATGGTTTAAAACCCAAAAGGTAAAAGGTAAAAATTCCTGCCTTCACTCCTGCCTTCTAGAAGTAAACAGTGTTACATTTCCTACGTGTCCTTCCAGAGGTGTTCAGGTCACGGCCAGAGTATGTGTGTGTACATGGTTACACACATGCTCATGTATATAGTTAGCATATGTATGTGTTTATGTGTGCATAGACTTCTGCAAATGTATGAGATTATGTTTATGCACATGAATATGCCGATGTATATGTCTATATGCACACCCCCGTGTATGTGTATGTGTGAATATTCCTTTTTTAAAAAAATAAATACAAGCATGCTATACACATGTATTTGCATTTTGCTTTTTTAAAACAAGTTTCTCAGCTTCTTCCACAAAGATTTGTTAAGTCAGTAAAGATAAAAATTGGGTCACTCTTGATCACTGAGCCTGGAACAGTGCCTGGCACATAGCAGTGGCCACTCAGTATTTGACCGACTGATCATGAATATGGATTTTAAAGAAAATTCTCTGAATTATTTTGATCAGATAGGCATGGGAACTGCTATTCTTAGCCAGTTTCCCATTAAGTTTATATAATGAGAGCCAATATTGTTCTTTTATACAACTTATATTCAAAAACTTGCTTGGCTAATTAAGAACTTAATATAAAGGTATTTAGAGCTCTTGTTTACTAAAAACATTCTAATGGCAACTCTGAGTTGAAAGAGCATACAATAGCAGAGCAAATACTTGCAGTATCCTTTCAAAAAGCTAACTTGCTAATAGATGTTGTCTCTTCTGTGAGGAGGTATCTGTATGATCTGTCAAAATCAACTGAGAAGCTCTGTTACCTTTTCTGAATGTGGAAGAGACCTTCTTCATAAGTCTGCACCCAAGTGATGTCATCTCCCCATCCTGAAACGGAAGAGAAGTCAGTGCATTAACTCGGGACCGCAGAAGAGGCTCGTGACAAGTGGACACCTATTTACACACACTTATGCTGCCAGGCAGTCATTTGACAGGTGGTAGAGACGATAAGTAGGTATCCTCTACTAGACGTGGTGTCTTTGCACATGATAGTGCTGAGGTTTTGTGACTGTGTTTTGGCCCTCAAGGTCCATGGCCTTAAACCCAGTAAGTGCTCAATAAATGCTGTTATTAGCGATGATTGAAAGGACATCTCTGGACCATGCAAAACCTCTGGTTTCGGAATGAACAGCAGTAAATAACAGTTACTCTTTGCATACTTTGTAAGTCTATTGGGAATATTTTGGATCATACCATACAGTGCCCTTCTGTCTCATGTACCAAGAAATGCTGACTTCTTCTAAGTGATGTATGTCATGACCAAAAGAATTCCAAATTTTGCCTTGAATTTCGATTCGGAAAAAAATCCTGGTGTTTCATGGTTGAGAAGCACAATAAAATACAGGTGTTCTAGAAGCACCCAGAAGAGGGAAGGAGAGGAAAACATAAAGCAATGAGTAGAGAGAGACCTACTATCTTTTAAAAAAGTGATATGGGTAGTTGGGAAAGTATATTAGAGATTAAAGAATAAGATTGTTGAGAAGAATGCCCCCAAACATTCAGAAATACTGCATTTTCAGGAAATATCTTGGTTTATAGATGAGAGAGATTAAATTAATTTGAATATAGAAATGTTCGTAGGCTAAGTTTCGTGTCAGATTTTCTTATATGTTTCACATGTTGTTAGACTGCAGTTTCTGGTTTTGATACCATGGCTAACAGGTGGCCAGAAATGATAATGCAAAGTTGTAAAGTAAGATAAAACACACTTCCCTGGCTTTTGCTTGTTGGTTTGTTTTTGATTTGTTCACTTTTGGGTATTAACTGTATTAGAATATAATTTACATACAAATACAGTTCATCCATTGAAAGAGTACACCTTTTCATATATACACAGTTGTGTAACCATCACCATAGTTATCAATCCTAGAACATTTTCGTCACTTCAGAAAGAAACCCTGTACCCTTTAGCTATCACCCCCAAGAGCTTCTTTTCCCCCAGTGCTGAGAAACACCTAATCTACTTTCTGTCTCTATAAGTTTCTTATTCGATACAATACGTGGTTTTTTGTGACTGTATGCTTTTACTTAATATGGTGTTTTCACAGTTCATCTGTGTTGTGGCATGTATCAGCACTTCATTCCTTTATATGGCCACATATTATTCCATTGTATGACTAGACCATATTTTATTTACCCATTCATCAGTTGATGGGCATTGGGTTGTTTCTACTTTTGGGTTTTTTTTACTTTTAAAAATTACAATTTTTAAAAATTTCCTTCTGCCTCCACATTCCCTTTCCTCCTTGTGGTTTTGCATCAATATTCTGTGTTCATCTCTACTTTTTGGCTTTGAATAATGCTGCTACGAACATTAGTACACAGCCGTTGGTGTGGACATATTTTTAATTTCTCTCGTGTTACATACTTCGGCACAGAATTGCTGGGTCACATGGTGTCTACATTTAGTCATTTGAGGACCTGCCAGACTTTTACCCAAGTGGTTGCACTGTTTGGCACTCGTACCAGTGGTGTTGTTGGTTTGTTTAGTCTGATTTTAGTATCTTAACAATAGAAAACCTGTTATGTTAGTTTTATAATCTATCTGTAATAATCCTGAAAGATTTTCTTTACAACTCTTCTTGAACATATGTAGGAACTTCACACTGTATTCTGCATTAAATAAGAGTAGTTCTAGTGAAACAACCAGTGAGACTGGGCTCCTACTTAATTTTTCTGTTTTGTTGTAAATACCACTCAACGCCAGCATTTCAGCAATGGGAGGAATTACTGTTCTCTTCTCCTGTTCAGCTTAGTCCCATCAGCATTAGAGAAATGTCTGCTTCAACCCTCTAGCACTGGGAATGTAAAGGTGAGATAAACAAGGTCCCTGCTCTCAAACAATTCAATGCAGGAGAGCCATATTGTATTATAATTATTTGTTACATACTTTATCTCATAACCACAATAGGCCAAGGTGATACAGGAGTTTGAACTCTCTCCAGGGTCTTTGTTCATTACCACAATTCTATTCCCAGCTATGCCTGCTTGTCCTAAGGGACTGTATTTATTCATACAATATATACTTACCGGGCACCTACTAGTAATATATGCCAGACACTGGGCTGGGTGTTGGGTTCTGGGCAGTTCTTTTGACTCAAAAAACAGTTAGGATTTGGGGGGGGGGTCACTATTTTATTTTTCTTTTTGAAAACTTACTACCTTTTCCCAATGATCTTTTCTCTTCTTTCTAACATACTCTCTACTTAATGGTTTCGTGTTGCCCCCTGTTCTAAGGGGCTCTGTATGTGACTGTGCACACTGTACCCAAACTCTTCCCTCTTAGCCCTGCCATTAACCCTCATTCATTCTGAGCCCCGTTTTCTCTTGTTTCGTACATGCTAATAGGTGGTAAACGGCTTAACCAAATGTAAACCAGTTCCTAGCCGTGCAGTTCCCAGCTGATGTCAGTCATCTTCCCTATTAAAACAGTTTTTAAATAACTGAAATAGCAGACTCAACAAGTTGTTTAAAATCTACCATGTATGTTGAGTTTATTTCTCATGAAATTCACCAAACATTTTAAAATAGATGTTTGAAAATGAATACACAGAATGTTGGTGACTTAGGGTACAGTAGTAGCATTCTGTTTAACTCAGGCCTGGAGGGTCTTACTGGGCAAGGATACATTTAGTATTCTACACTTCAACACTCCTGAGCTACTTGTTTTATAAATACTGTGATTATATAGAGCAATACATAATAAATTGTACTTAGGAAAATAGTTTCTCCCTTTAATTTCTTTCTTTCTAAAAACTTGCTAGTCATTTTGTTTTCTAGTTTCTGTGGTTTTAAACTGAAGTAAAATGAATTAACTCAGCTGTGCTTTGATGGGCAATTGGCTGGTACTCAATACATCTCTTAAGAAATGAATGAACTTGGAAAGTCAATATTTTAAAATTTGACATGATGCTATAATTAGTCTCCATTTGTTTGCTCCATTTATACACTATTCCAAGGAGTGGTCAAGTGTGTTGTGGTTCGTACTACCAATTTTAAGTTAGCTGTGTGGAGGTAAATGATTTTGTTCCCATGCCTGTTACCAGGAGATGTAGGAGCTGATTTTGAGAGTTTTCCCTATAAATTGTTTCTTTACAGATGAAGATAAATTTGTTTCTTAGGCCAAAGGAAAGCAATAGTACAAAATAGAAGTGTTTTCTAAACATGTAGCCAATAATAGATCGAGATTATAATGTCGAAATCTCTGCAGCTGTTTTCTGGAGTCAATATAGCAAACACTTGGTTAACCAAAATTCTCAGAGGGCAGGATGAAAAATAATTTTCTGGGAATTTTTGTATAAAATAACTCTGATCTTTTTTTTTTTTTTGCCTGATAGAGGACAGGGAATTGGAGCAGGTTTTCAATGATCTTAACTGCCTTTGGGACATCATTCTGACACATCAATTAATATTTTTACCAGGACTGTGGTTACCAAAGTTACAGGCAACCAAACCAATTCCCCACTATTTCTATAAAAGCTATAGCAAATTTTAGTGTTTTTCAGTTGGTTTGGTTCACTCTTAAAAGTCAACAGACCCTTCCTGGGTTTTGTTTTTGCCTACTTTAAAGTGGTAGGCAACAAAATGTTCCAGTTCACTTTGCTTTCTAAGTAGTGTTTGGGTAAGAGACTAGGAATTTTAAAACAATCCAAATGGCTGAATGTAGAAGCCGAAACGAGATCTTAGTACCTCGTGAGAGTGTCTGCGGAGGCCTCTTGTCCTTTCTGATGGCAGCAGCGAGGTTGGGAGAAACCGCGACGAGCAAGAGGCAGAGGGCTGAGGCTGAACGCAGCATCACGTGTTCTGCAGGAGCCCTCAGAAGCTAAGTGACCGAAAATAGCTGTTAGAATCCAGTAGGTTACTTCAAGCTGTCATGTAAGATTCAGACCACACCTGTGCTGGCAGTTTGCTCTGCTTGTGTGAGCTCACGTGGTACAACTTCATAGAACTTTCATTCACGTGTTATTAAAAAAATATTTTAAAAACGCAATCAACTCAATAAATGTCCACTTGGTGAGAAGCCACATTCTGGGCATCCTGGGGGCGGTGGAATGGGGTTGAAAGAAACCTGGACCTGGGCACTTGCAGCTCACTTCTGACTACACTTCAGTGCTCACGGGAGTGAAACTCAAATATGATCGGGTTTACTGAAGGTCTTTCGACCAGAAAGTACAAGGCAAAAGTGACTTTTGGCATGTATAAGTATTCTTTTGATTCTTTTTCGTCTCATGGATTAAACCAATCTGTTAATTCTATGCCAAGATAAAAAGATTAGGCGTGAACAAATAATGCTTACAATGGAATTCAGAGAAAGAAAATAGAATATGGAGGATTCTTGTTTTTCAAGTCCTGTCATTCATCATTCTCATTCTTCTACCAGTTACTCCACCCTTTGTCCTTCAGTTTACAACCCAGCTCTCTAAAAAAAATCACATTTATTGTCACATTGCAATAAATTAAACATACGTGTAAAGAAGAAGAGACTCGTTGCATCCATGGTTCACTCTTGGCTTGCTAGAATTCAAGTGGATTTTAAAGTCGGTGTGCTGTCCCTTATACCCTGCATGTTAAGATATAATCAAAAGTCTAAAGCTGGATCTGAGCTGGACTTAAACCACTCGATAAATATCTTGCACGGAGGGTTTAATGCTTGAGATGTTCAGTTACAGCATTTGTAGCATATGAAACCCTTGTGAGCTCTGGCTCATGTGGCTCAGTGGATTGAGTGCTGGCCTGCGAACCAAAGGGTCGCTGGTTCGATTCCCAGTTGGGGCACATGCCTGGGTTGCAGACCAGGTCCCCAGTAGGGGGTGTGAAAGACGCAACCACACATTGATGTTTCTCTCCATTTCTTTTTCCCTCCCTACCCATAAAATAAAATAAATAAATATAAATAAATAAAAATAAAATAAATATAAACATCTAAATATCTATTTTATCTAAAAATAAATAAAATCTTTAAAAAACCCTTTTGAAAAATAGTTAACATATGCAATTTTGAAATCACCACAAAGTATGAAGTAAATGTACAGAAATCTTTTGTGTTTATTTAAAATTCCTTCAAAGCAGTTTTCCTTTTGACTTACATTATTCAGTAGTGAATCCCCACCTGTAAAATCGTGAATGACCATTTTGTGATTCTGTTCAAACATTAATATTGCTATATGTAACTGTACTAGACATTGTAGAAAATTGAAAGGTTAATAAGACAAATACACCTTAAAATAATTGACCCTTTGACAGTGGAAGTGGGCTGATTGTGTGTGACAGCAACGATGGCCATGGAGAGCACAACCTGGTGGCGGGGAAGTGTGTGCACCCTAGTTTTCTCCAGACGCTTCCCCATTCTTCTCAGTCTAGCGCCCTTCCTCGCCAGCGGTGCCTCCCTTCAGTCCTCCCCGGAACTGAAAAGAGTTGCCCCTCCAGGTCAGCCCCACTTAAATTATTTCCCTTCCTAATCGGCAATGAACCCATTTTTGAATCTGTTTCATTTTTAAAAAACCCTGTAAAAAATAGCCATGTCATAAAACATTCAGATTGCCGTATTTTACCTGGAGGACTGGCCATCTTGTACCTTAAAAACTGAAATGGAGGCCGGGTAGGTTTTAGTAGGGATAGAGAGCACTGAATCTGGAACACAGAGTCCCGTATGGGGAGGGCATTCTCTGCCCGGTTGAAAACTGCAGCAGAGAAATGGTAGCAACCATCCAAGGCAGGGCCTTAACCTGGAGCCAGTGACTTCCACAAAGTCAGTGACTGAGTCACAGGACGATCGAAAAACCCGGAAATGGTAGGTAGACTTGTGTGCTTCTGTGCGTTTTCCTGCAGAAGATGCCTTAAAATTCTTCCAGGGGTCTTGGTTAGGAAGCAGAGTGAGGAGAAGCTAATCTGAAGAGGGCCTCAGAAAAGGTTCTCTGGGGCAGAGACAGGTAAGTAGGTGAAATCTGGACTGAAGGACAGGGAGTATAACTTCACCATTCTCCTGATTTGAAGTTGCCCAGTTTAGAGCCGAGTGGGAACCAAACTTAAAAAAAAAGTCAAGTTATTGTATATTATTGTCAAAGAGTACTCTTAAAAAATCAAAACATTGAATTTCTGTTTTACATTATTTGATTGTAAGATAGATATTGAATATATTCTGTGATAAAGCTGATGTGTTTATGTATGTTTATTTTTGGACAAACATGTTTCCCTTGGTGACATAGAATGCATAGGCTGCTGAGGGCTCTTTAACCCCAGGCGCACGGCGAAGCTGCTTTGGGGACACAGGTGGAAATGACGGGGTAACAGCCCCAGGGCAGCCTGCAGCGCATTCAGGGGCCACATTAGGTGTTACAAGCCTTGGCCAGTAGGCATTGAGTACACGAACATGTTATTTTTCAAAGGTCATTTAACATAAATCATTTACTTAGATGATATATAAAGATATTTCCTATCTTAAAATAAAACAAAATTTAAAAGAAAGAAGAGAAGAACAACTGCTACTTGTAGCATAATTTTTGAAGGGTCAGTTTTGGTCAATGCCAGTTTATTATAATATCATGAATATAAAGAGACTCAAAGTATGAAGCCAGCAAAGGAAGTCCAGTTCATTAAAAGAGTTATATACAATTTCATTGAATGTTCCCTACCCTTTACTGAAGACCTCACTTTTGAGTAGCAGTCATACATGGATTATTTAAATATAGCAGAGCTTGACCACTGATTAAATAGTCGGGAAATTTTGCTTGCTTACCTGAACTGGCCAGTGCTCTTGCTGGAAGTGTGTTCTGGATGTTTCTGGTTAGAAATGGGTGTGGATTCAGTGACACAGGCAAACACACACACACCCCTGACCTGCAGCTCCTCCTGCATCAACACGAGAGCACAGTCACCTGCAAACTTTGAAAAATAGGTTTGCCTGAAATACCCTGGACTTCTTTCCAGTTCTCATGCTTCTCATGCTAAAAAACCCTTCTGTCTAAATTAAGAAGGAGTGTCCTTCTAAAAGGAGGCCAAATACAGTCTTTGGGGTTTTTTTCTCTTCTACCTTTTACAAGGTAATTTAATGTTTGGCTGGAGTTCAACACCAGAAAAAAATAAAAAGGGAGGAAGAAAGGAACTGGTCTGAATGCAGGAACTTGTGTGTAGATCATTGTTCTCAATGAAAGATCAGCGAGGCTTGCAGATTAGATACAAAGCAAACAGAAATTCCTAAGGGTTACTCTGTTTACAGGAATGCAATTAACAGTTAAAGAGATCAGGTCCTATTTTACACACACACATAGAGAGAGAGAGAGAGAGAGAGAGAGAGAGGTGCTGTTTTAAAATTTAACATTTTAATAATGCAATTACTCTTTACAGTCTTTCTATAAAATTCTTTTACTGTGCAAAAAAACAGGAAGAAAGGCAATTAGATAAGTTTGTTTATATTTATCTAATAGAGTTAATACTTTTAATAATTAGTCCATGGGTATGGTAAAACATTTTTTAAGTATAGAGTTGTGTCAAAACAGAAAGTAAAATTCTCTTCTCCCATCTTCAGTACCACGTTTCCTTGTGCACCCCACCCCACATGCTCAGACCCCCCTCCCTTCAGTTCCACTTCCTGGAGCTAATCACAGTGAAAATGATCCAAGGCGGGGCTATAAAATCTGCCCCACCTGTTTTTGTATAACCCAGGAGCTAAGAATTATTTTTGCATTTTTAAATGGTTGGGGGGGTATCAAAGGAAGAAATGATTCTTTAATATGTGAAAATTCAAATTTCTTCCTTTTGTGGTACATAAACATTGAAATTTCAATGTCTGTCAATAGAGATTACCGGATGGAACCCAGCCATGGTCACTTCCTTGGGGACCATCTGTGGCTACACTGGCACTGTGACCGCAGTGTTGAGTGCCGTGTCAAGGACTATGCGGCCGGCAAGTCCTGAAATATTTACACTCTGATGTTTTACAGAAAATTCGTGAGGATGCCTAGTGTAGAAGACAGTTCCATAACTTTTTCTTCCTCTCTTCTTCCCTCTCTTCCTCTCTCTTCTTGTCCCCTCCCTCCTTCCTCGCCTTCTCTCTTTCTGTCTAATTACTCAGTGTATTAACGAATGCACTGCTGAAGAGGGGTTGATGATTGTTTTGCTTCTAACATCAGAGTGAGTGCGCTTCTAGTATTTCATTTAGTCGGAGTTCTGGTTTGACTGACCATGTTAAGGAGGTAGCCGTTACGTATTCCTATACCACATCTCTCAAAACCAAGAATGTTGGGTTTTGTTTTATAGAGATGGATAGAGTAAATTTACGGTTTTCCTCACTGCACCTTCTTTGTGATCCTGAGAGAAACCCCATGTAGCAGGCTGCAGTATTCTTGTACTATACCACTGAGCTGTGTGTTTGTTTGAGTTCTGCTTCCTTCCTTATAAAGGATTCTTCCTTGGGACATGCTATTCAAATGGAATTCTGTCTGCTGAAGGTGAGGAAACTTGGGGTACAGTTTAAAATTTGAAACCCAGAATTTACAAAGCGAAGTGTGTCATGGTTCCCTCTCTCAGAGGAGGGTGGGGACGCCCTCGTCTTGCTCTTGCCCGAGCAGTCCACAGACAAGGCTCGAGAGTGTCCGAAGTCCCTGTTCAACTCCTCACACATCATCTGTGTTAATGGGCAAGGAGATGATAAGGAGAAAGAAGCCGAGTACCTCAGGGGGAGTGAAACTAGGTTCCGGGGTGTCTGAGCGGGTCCACGTCTTTGGGTCTCTCCCGCTGGTGTAACTGTGATTATAGTTCCCAACCAGGACAACTTGGAAAAAAAAAAAGAGGTAATCAAATCCTTTGGAGTTACATAGTTTTGAAATAATATTTTGAAATATGTGTATGTCAACTAAAACTTTTTCTTATATAATAGATGACAAATAGTTCTATTAAAGATTATTCTCAACAGTAAGATTTTTAAAAAGATTTTATTTACTTATTTTTAGATACAGGGGCCAGAAAGGACAAAGAGGGAGAGAAACATCAGTGTGAGAGAGAAATAGCAATCAATTGCCTCTTTTATGTGCCCTGACCGAGGACCAAAGGAACTCACCACCCAGGCATGTGCCATGGCTGGGAATCAAACCGGTGACCCTGCGCCTTGTAGGAGGGCGCTCAGCCAACTGAGTCACACCAGTCAGGGCAGCACTAACATTTAGAAAGTGCATTCACATACATTATGGCAAAAATTTTTAAATTATTCTTTGCATATGTTTATATTAACTAGTTTCTTAACTTGTCTCTGATACCAGGAGGTTGGTATTTTTCTGATGTTTTTTTCTTATACTATTGGTGTTACTTATTCTTATAGGTATTTGTTAATAAAATTGCCTACAATCATCTTCAAAGTTGTTCCTATGGTAAATGTATTTGGGATTGATATCAGCTCCGACTGGCACTTCTCTGTGGGCCGCACTGTTTTTAATTAAGTACATGATCTTCTCGTAGGACCTTGGTTACCTGGTGAGTTTGAGAAAATTTACTTCAGCGGAGGACAGTTTCAATTCTAATTTTAATCTTATTGAAAAGTTATTCTGTGTTGAGCCTCTGTTAAGAGTCCCTCCCTCAAGAGAAACCTTGATAAGATGAAACATGTAAAATAAGTTACTGTATTTCCCTTCATCATTATTTAAAAGGTTTCATTAAATCTCCACACTACAGAATTGAAGGTCCTTTCTATTTCATTCTGTTTGGGAACAGAATATAAATTTATCAAATTAAATAAAACAACGTTTCAGAAGCAACTGATAGGAGAATTCTTCTCCCGGCAGAAAAACACTATAGAAGACACCCCAACCTTTCCCAGAACCCCCAGACCCCACAACCCCCCCCCACACCCCCCGTGCCCATATTTTTATACGATTAATTGGTCACATAGTCATAAATTGAATTTAGGGATAGGATTCCCTATCCACTTTGTGTGTATGTCCATGCGTATCTATGTTTCAGTTTTCAGTCTCTAGAATACATAGAAAACAACCAGTATTGAAAGGTCAGCTGTAGAATACAGATCTCCCTCCCGCTCCTCTTCCAGCTGCGGCTCTCCTAACTAGAGACAATAATTACCAACTTCTTGACTCTTCTTCCAGAAATACTTTCTCTATATTCAAGCATGGCCCTATCCAGTTATAGTTATGTATCTGTCTATTTATCATCTTTGTGTATATCTCCCTATGTAGTTTTTATTATTAGCACAATGGTGCCATTCTACCAATACTTCTGATGCTCTGTAAATTGAATATTGCACCATAGCAAAACAGGTGTTTATGAAACTGTCTAGTAAATCAAAGAGAAAGAACATTCTGTAGAGAACATTTATCTGTCTTCATTTTCTAAATCTTGTTGCAAATACTAACTTTAAAAATGTCGGTTTCTGGGGGGCAAAACCCTAGATTCTTTGAATTAAAGGAATAGGTATGCTCCAGGAGTTGTTATCAGCAGTGGTGTTTTTTTTCTGATATATATATTTTTAATTTTATTTAGTTATTTTTCAAGTACAGTTTTTTGTCTATTTCTCCCATCCCAGCCTCCCCCGCCCCGTGCTCCCCACCTCCCTCCCATTTCCGCCCTCCTTAGTTCTCATGCCTGTGTCCTTCCTATTTGTTCCTCCAAATCCCTCCCCTTTTTCCCCCTTAAATTCCCTTCCCTCTCCCCTCTGGTCACTGTCCCCTTGTTCTCTATTTCAGTCTCTTTGTTTTTATTCTGCTTGCTTGTTTGTTTTGTTGTTTAGCTTCCTGTTAAAGGTGACATCATATGGTATTTGTCTTTCAACACCTGGCCTATTTCACTCAGCATAATGCTTTCCAGTTCCATCCATGTTGTTGCAAAGGGTAGTAGTTCCTTCTTTCTCTCTGCAGCATAGAATTCCATTGTGTATATGTACCACAATTTTTTGATCCATTCGTTTACTGATGGGCACCTAGGTTGCTTCCAACTCTTGGCTATTGTAAATTGTGCTGCTATGAACATTGTGGTGCATAGGTTCTTTGAAATTGATGTTTTAGGATTCTTAGGATGTAATCCTAGCAGTGGAATTGCAGTGGTGTTTTATACCACACATTTAAGATCAATGTGTTGTTATAAGCCTGTCATGTCCAGTGTCTGCAATCTATAGGTTCTTGCTTTGTCAAGAATGGTTACACTTCCCATCACAAAACAATAACTCTTTCACTAAGCATCTCAAATTTCTCTTTCAGGGTAGCACAACTAAACACTTCTTAGACTTGAGTTATTTTCACAGTGTTGATATAAATGGAATTTATTCCTTGGTTCTTGCCCCATGGGCCAGATAAGATTGAATAGATTTGTGTATGTAGCTTCTGGATTATTGAAGGTCCTTCTTCAGTCGGGCTCTTACCTGTAGCCTGTGGGGGTAACACTTCACTTTTATCCATAAGAGGTCTCTGTGCCTGGACTTGGCAGAGCATTTTTCCTCCCATGGAAGGAGATGGGGGATCTAGGCTGGCCACCCATTTCCCCATCCAGTTAGGGGAGAGCCTGCTTTAGAAATTATGGGTGAAATTACAATGGAGAGTGCCCAGTTGGGAGGCAGCCATGGCCAGTCTGCAGAGGGATCCAAATATGGTTTTCAAGTGGGTGAAGAGCAGTACAGACAATGGGAAGAAGGAAGCAGAGCCAGCATGCCACAGGACCGGGGAAGGGGAGGGAGGAGCGGTGGGTCTGGGGAGTAAATGGGCGGGGCTCTTGGGTGATTTGTAGACATCAGTCCATTTAAAGAGCTAGAGAGAGTGTGGCCTTGTCGTAAG